TTGCTTTTTACAGAGTCAGACTAACACGGCTACCCCTCGGATATTAACACCTAAAACCCAGCAGAAAGCTGCATTCTTTCCCCCGCGGTGAGTGGTAGAAACACTGCCAACTCTGGCAGGTGAAGGGTAGCTCCCTGAATTCTGCTCTTGGCAGGCAAGTGTCAGAGGAGACTTCTGATTTGGAAGGGTAATTATATTTGCCCATATATGCAGTGAAGGAATTCGGATCTCAAACCGATTTGTGAAGATATTTTAATGGCATTTCAGCCCCCCTAAGGCGTCCTTGGAAAAGCACCAGGCCTGTCCGTGGGCACAACCAAACCCTTGGGCCAAGTCCGGGGGTGCGGCGCATTTAGCCAGGCTGCTTTCCGGCCGGTCGGGGAGCTGCGGGGCTTCACCTCATGCTGAACAGCAGCACCATGGCGGAGAACAGGAACACGGAGACCGAGAACTCCAGCAGCCTCTCCCCCTGCCACCTCTTGGCCGCCTCCTCCTGCTGCCGCTTGCGCTGCTGGCGCCGCTCGCGGAGGAGCTGCTGCCGCTCCAGCTGCTCGCCGTAGTGGGCGCGGTAGAAGGCGTCGAAGTCGAAGACGGGCGCGGCGGGGGGGCGGCGGGAGGCCGCGCTGCGCTGGCCGGGCGCCGGGGGCTGGCCGGGCGCGCGGGCCGAGGGCCTCCCGGCCGAGCTCAGCTCCTCGCGGCTCAGCACGCCCCGGTCGTACTTGCGGCGCAGGGCGGCGCTGCCCAGCACGGCGTAGGCCTGGTGCAGCGCGGTGAAGCGCGCGGCCGCCTCCTCGCTGCCCGCGTTGCGGTCCGGGTGGCAGCGGAAGCTCTGCTCGTAATAGGCCGCCTTGATCTGCGCCTGCGTGGCGCTGGCCGACACGCCCAGCAGCTCGTACAGCCCCGCGGCCCGGGCCGGGCCCCCGTCGGCGGCGCTGCGGCCGTAGGGCCGGGCGGGCAGGACGCGGCCCAGGAGGGCCCGGGGCCAGCCCCGAGCGGCGTGAGCCGGCGCCATGCCTGCCGGGTGCCGGGCGCGGCCTGCGGCCTCGGGGCGGTCCGCACCGGCTCCCGGTACCGCTCACCTCGACCCGACTTCCGGGGTTGCCGGCACGGCGCGGCCAATGGGAGCGCTCCCTGGGAGGGCGGGGTAGCAAGAGGTCCCGGCCAATGGAGTGAAGAAGGTCGCGCGGACGGACGGCTGCCTCGACCAATGGGAGCTGCGCACATTGCGCCACGGCTCGGGGAGATGACGTCAGAGTGCAAGCATGGCGGGGAGCGGTCGGAGGCCTGAGCATCGCGGGCCCCCGGAGCTGGTGAGTCCGGGACCCCTGAGGCAGGGCCCGGTGCCGCTGCGTCGCTAGGCTTGGGTGGGGGCGGGGCCCTGGGAGGGGGGTCTCTGGGCTGTGGAAGGGCTGCCCCGGGGAGTGGGGCCCGGCTTGGAGGGGGTGGGACTGGGGGGCTGGGTCCTGGGGGTTCTGGGCCCGTGAGGGGCTGCCCCGGGGAGCGGGGCGGGGCTCTGTGGGGATCGGGGGCGCGGCTTGACACGGGGGAAGTAGCGGAGGTCTCTGGGCCCGTGGGGGTTGGCCCTGGAGGGCATGGCGGGGGGAGCATCAGCCTATCGTCCTCCCAGTTTCGCTGTTTGTTTTTCTTGCAGTTCTACGATAAGGCTGAGGCCCGGAAATACTCCCAGAAGTAAGGGCGCTTCCCCTTGTATGCTTGCTCCCTTGCTGTGGTGCACATGGCCAGTCCCTAGTGGAGGTGGTGAGGATGGGTCTTGTCCCATCTCTGTGCTGATGTCCAGGGCATCTGGAGTGCCGTTTGCTGTGTCCCCCAAAAGTGTCAGTGTGCACCAAGAAATGCATTCTGAACTAAATTGCATGGTGAAAAATCTCAAGCAGGTCTGTGGTGCAGCTGCTCTGCTGACGTTAATGGGTGTGGCGCTGTCTCCTGTACAGTAGTAAAGCCAAACTTTGCACCCTCGATAATCTGTACGTTATTCCCTGATAACCAGAAACTTCTATGCTCAAACTCTCTTCACTATTTTTTTTAACATCATCTTAATACATTTTTTAAATCTGCTCCCAGCAAGCGTTCTCCATTTGTACTGCGCAGCTATCCCCATAGTGAGCATAAGATCTGCCGCAGTGCTCTTAGCTATTCACTCCTGAGGAATGGTAGAGCAGGCAGAGTTGGGTGCCTGACGTCAGTCTTAGTAATTATGTGGAGAGCTGTATTGACCAATGGTACTAAAGAGCAGGTGGTTGAAAAAAGCCTAAGCCAGTTTATGCAGGGCCCATGGGCCCCCAAAGGAATGCAGAAATTTCCACCACAAGGCCGGTTCCCATCTTAGGCCTTTCCTTGTGCTTCTAAATACTCCATTGTCTTCATGAATAACTAAGGTCTGAGCCACAAGTTACCTTGGCTGTGACTTTATTCTGGGTAGCAGAAGCCACTTAGATATTTCATTACTGGTTTCATGTGAATAAAGGTAATGGTCTCAAGTTGCAGTGGGGGAGGTTTATGTTGGATATTAGGAAAAAAAAATTCACTAGGAGGGTGGTGAAGCACTGGAATGGGTTACCTAGGGAGGTGGTGGAATCTCCTTCCTTAGAGGTTTTTAAGGTCAGGCTTGACAAAGCCCTGGCTGGGATGATTTATTTGGGGATTGGTCCTGCTTTGAGTAGGGGGTTGGACTAGATGACCTCCTGAGGTCCCTTCCAACCCTGAGATTCTATGATTCTAAGGAGGATTCTTTCTCCTCAGCTCTCGAATGATTGAGATCCAGTCGCAGATGTCAGAGCGGGCTGTGGAGCTTTTGGGCTTGCCAGAAGATCAGCCATGTTTCCTTCTGGATGTTGGGTAAGACCCTGCATATGAGCCATGTAGAACTGTAAGGATGCTGCTTTCCTCCTCCCGCCTTACCTCACTGGCAGCTGTGCATATCTCTCTATCAGTGTTATAGAGAGCGAACAATTTATGAGTTTACCCTTTATACGGGGTAAAATGGATCTATTTGTTTTTTAGACGCCCTTTAAGTTGCTTTCAGTTAAGCCTACAGCTGTTACGGGATGTGGTTCAGACCCTGGGTCTGGGTTTGCAGCAGGCTAGCGGGTCTGGCTCAAACCGAGCAGGGCACTGAAGTCCTAAGCTGCCAGGGCAGGAAAGCAGGGGCAGAAGTAGTCTTGGCACATCAGGTGGTAGCTCCCAGGGGGTTTCTGTGATGCAACCCGTCACAGTCAGTAAAAGGGCTGGATATTGGGCTTGATCTGCATTTCTAAGACCTGTTCTTTTGCTTTTAGCTGTGGCTCTGGTTTGAGTGGAGATTACATCTCTGAAGAGGGACATCACTGGGTTGGGATGGACATCAGTTCTGCCATGCTGGGTAAGCAGATTCTCGTTGACGGCATGTCCTAGTGGGCAGACAATACATATGTGCATTGGAGGGATAGAAATGTATAAAATGCAGCCCTGGGTACTGATCTGAAGATTTGTCGCCATCTGCCTGACTTGTGTTTTGTGCTGTGCAGATGTTGCTATGGAGAGAGAGGTGGAAGGAGACCTCATCCTTGCAGACATGGGGCAGGGGATTCCCTTCAGGCCAGGCATGTTTGATGGCTGTGTCAGGTAAGACATTGCTCTTTGCTTTCTTCTCTTAGTTCTCAGAGCTCTGCCTAGCAGGAAGACACAACAGAAGCCTGGCCCTGTTAGCTGGCCTTACCAGCTTGCACGCCATAGCAGGTTGTTGAAATTTGGACAGGCTTTGAATTAGGGATGCTTCTTCCCATATTTGGGAGCAGCTGCTGGAAAATTACCTTTGACTCTCATAATACTGGACTGTGAAAACAGGGAACGGCTTATCCAAAAATTGAGGAATAGCTGAGGGTCACTGATAACTAAGGGTATGTCTATACTTATCTCCGGGTCCGGCGGTAAGCAGTCGATCTTCTGGGATCGATTTATCGCATCTTGTCTAGACGCGATAAATCAATCCCGGGAGTGCTCACTGTCGACGCCGGTACTCCTGCTCCGCGAGAGGAGTCGACGGGGGAGCCTGCCTGCCGCGTGTGGACCCGCGGTAAGTTCGAACTAAGATACTTCGACTTCAGCTACATTATTCACGTAGCTGAAGTTGCGTATCTTAGTTCGAAGTGAGGGGTTAGTGTGGACCAGCCCATAGGCTAGCAGAAGGTGCTGACTACCTGTGCTGAGCGTGGCATAAGAAACTAGATCATGGGCATGCTGCTCATTTGGGGAGGGATGGGAAGGGTCAGAACTCCTGAGCCACAGAGGGGCTCCCACTGACACTAACGGGTGGTTTGCCCAAGTATATAACCTGTTCGCTAGTTAATGCTGCTGTTATATTCAGCGTGTCATAGATCCATAGGATCTGTACTGTGCCCCAGCTTTTAAACCCCTTTGGTGTGCCAGATACCCGAAGGGCCCCAATCTTCCTTCAGTGCAGGCCCGCAGCCTCACCGCCTCTGATGTGCCCCTGGGTCCAGCACTTGTGATTCACACCATAGTGAGTCCGACTGCGCTGGACTCCTGGTCATACTTTTACACTGGTCAGGGACTACTGCACCTCAGCAGATATTTGCAGTGACACCAGGCAGCATTTTCAAAGCAGAATAGGGTTTATTAGTCATCTGGAACGCATTATCGGGAGTCCTTAGGTTAGCACAGAGAAATCAAGATTAAGATATAGTGCATCTGGTCAGGCCAGAGCAATCCGCCAGCCAAGCTGCTCCAGATTCCATTTTAGGCTCTCGGTCCCTTTGCCCCTCCACAGGGAGAGCAGCCCAGCCTCTCCCAAAAGCTACTCTTTATTCCCTGCCTGGTACCTCTTAGTCCCTTGTTCTGGAGCTGGCCTCTGCTCAGTTTCCCTGCTGAGAGGTGGGGGGAGGTGGGGGGAACTTCCTCTTGATGGTTGTTTGCTAGGTGTGAATTGTCTGGTCACTGGGGCTTCCCATTGCCTCTTTGGGGTCAGCTCCCAGACTTCTGCACTGGGCAGCACAGCATGGGGAGGAGAGATTGCAGAGCCATTGGCCATTATCTTTGAAAACTCCTGGCGATCGGGGGAGGTCCTGGATGACTGGAAAAAGGCTAATGTAGTGTCCATCTTTAAAAAGGGGAGGAAGGAGGATCCGGGGAACTACAGGCCAGTCAGCCTCACCTCAGTCCCTGGAAAAATCATGGAGCGAGTCCTCAAGGAATCAATTCTGAAGCACTTTCAAGAGAGGAAAGTGATCAGGAGCAGTCAGCATGGATTCACCAAGGGGAAGTCATGCCTGACTAAACTAATTGCCTTCTATGAGGAGATAACTGGCTCTGTGGATGAGCGGAAAGCAGTGGACGTGTTATTCCTTGACTTTAGCAAAGCTTTTGATACGGTCTCCCACAGTATTCTTGCCAGCAAGTTAAGGAAGTATGGGCTGGATGAATGGACTATAAGGTGGATAGAAAGCTGGCTAGATCATTGGGCTCAACGGGTAGTTGAGCCCAGTCTAGCCTGCTCCATGTCTAGTTGGCAGCCAATATCAAGCGGAGTGCCCCAAGGGTCGGTCCTGGGGACGGTTTTGTTTAATATCTTCATTAATGATCTGGAGGATGGCGTGGACTGCACCCTCAGAAAATTTGCAGATGACACTAAACTGGGAGGAGTGGTAGATACGCTGAAGGGTAGGGATAGAATATAGAGGGACCTAGACAAATTAGAGGATTGGGCCAAAATAAATCTGATGAGGTTCAACAAGGACAAGTGCAGAGTTCTGCACTTAGGACGAAAGAATCCCATTCGCTGTTACAGACTAGGGACCGAATGGCTAGGCAGCAGATCTGCAGAAAAGGACCTAGGGGTTACAGTGAACGAGAAGCTGGATATGAGTTGACAGTGTGCCCTTGTTGCCAAGAAGGCTAACGGCATTTTGGGCTGTATAAGTTGGTGCATTGCCAGCAGATCGAGGGACGTGATCATTCCTCTCTATTCAACATTGGTGAGGCCTCATCTGTAGTAGT